ATATATCAGCTTCACCCATGAAATAAATTTAGGGCCGAAGTTAAAAATCACCAAGGTCTTAAAAAGATAGTTCCACTCCACCTGGTCAAACACTTTCTCGGCGTCCAGCGAGAATAAAATTTCATTGCAAATGTGAGCGGGTGGAGCAGAAGTATACAGCACATTAAACAGCCGCCTGATATTAAAGAAGGATTGACGATTTTTAATAAAACCGGTCTGGTCAGGTGCAACAATTGTGGGGATAATCTGTTCGACTAGTTTTGCCAACATTTTTTGTAAGAATTTTTACATCAGTATTTAAAAGCGATATTGGGTGATATGAACTGCAGTTCAAGGGGTCTTTATCCTTCTTTAAAAGCAAGGAAATTACCGCCTGACGCATAGACAGTGGCAATAATTGTGTTGCTAAGGATTCCTCAAAAACTGATAACAGGGGAGAAAGTAGATGCGAAAATTTCTTAAAGAATTCTGCCGGGAAACCATCTGGTCCTGGAGATTTTTCATTTTGCATGTTTTTAATTGCAGAGTTTATCTCAGCTGAAGAGAAATCTCTTTCCAACTCTTTAGATAGGTCAGAACTTAGTGAAGGGATTTTAATATCTTTAAATAACTCATCCAATTCAGTAGGGTTAGGTGAGGCTTCGGAGGTATACAGAGATTGGTAAAATTTGCTGAAACACAGATTAATTCCTGCATTCTCAACATTTTACACCATGCTTATCATATATTGCAGAGATATCCTGTTTAGCTGAGCGCTGCTGTGCAAGAAGGCGTTCAGCCCTCTCACCATGCTCATAGTAGCCATACCTAGATTTGGATATTAAATAGTCGGCCTGTTGGGTAGATAAGGTGTTAAACTCTGTTTGGAGTAATGTACGTTTCTTAAGTGAGTCTTGTGTAAAAGTATGGCAGCATTCCCTGTCTAATTGTAAAATCTGATCTGTCAGTGATTTTAGCCGTTCGATGTTTTTCTTCTTTTTATTTGCACAGTAAGAGATTATTTGACCTCTCAGGTGAGCCTTTAATGATTCCCAAACAGTGCTGAGTGGCATCCCGGGAGTCCGATTAACATCAATAAAAAACTTAATTTCAGAAGCAAGCATATCAACTAAGTTTTCGTCAGATAAAAGTATCGGATTAGGTCGCCAAGGATGATAGACCGATTGCATAACAGGAACGTTCAGTTTCATTATGAGCGGACTATGATCAGAAATGACAATCGCTCCATAATCACATTCACTCACTAAAGGTAAAATTCGTTTATCGAGGAGAAAGTAGTCAATCCGTGAATAAAAAAAATTGTATAGGTCTTCTGGATTGGTTCTTCTCTAATGAAACGTTTCGTCTCTCCTCC